CAAGAGGAGAAGGGATTGCGGCGTGGCCATCCCCCCTGGGGGGTGATTTCTCGCTTTCTGTCTGTCTGTCTCTCTCTTTCTGGTGCGCGCACACGCCCTATAGCTAAAAACTTCTCCAAAAAAGAAAAAAATTATTTAATTTTATTTATTATTATTTTTAAATTTGAGAGAGAGAAAGCTAGCAAGCTGCCAGGTCTGGGACTCTAACTGCGGTCAGCCATGTGGGAGCCCAGTGCCTTAACCACCACACCACCCGCCAGCCCCTAGAAATGTGTCTTGATAGCCCAGGCCTGTCTCATCACAGATCAGGATTATCCTATGACAGCCCAGCCCCATCGTAACTCCACACTGTCCTTGTCACTTCTCAGAACTGTCCCCAACAGATCTAAATACTGTCACGACACAGAGCAAGACTGTCCCCCTCCAGATCCCAGCACCATCAGTGAGGACCGTGGCCTAGGACTGTTCCTGTCATGTCCTAGGGCTGCTTTCCTCAGGCCCCAGGGACTTCATAGTGACTATGCCCCATGACAGTGCTCAGGCTAGTCCCCGCAAAACTGTCCCTGCCAACAGCCAATCATGTCTCCTCCACACCCCAAGACTGTCTCCATCAGAGCTCGGGACTCAGCCCTAGACTCGTCTCCACGACAGGATAAAACTCTTAGGCCAGCTCTGTAGGCTGATGATTAAGTCAACCGGTTCCCATATGGACAACCATGCATGCGTTTGAGTTCTGGACCCAGTAGCTGTAGAAACACACCAGAGGGACCAGCAGATGGCGCAATGGTTACATCACTGGACTCCCATGTAGTTCATGGTTCAAGCCCCAACCCAGTGATTTAAAACTCATGCCAGCTGTGTGCATGCGTGCCCAAGATCCCAAGAGGAGGATGGAGGAGAAAGATTGCAGTGTGGCCATCCCCCGGGGGATGATTCCTCATTTTCTGTCTCTGTCTCTCCGACAAGTGCACGCGCCCTATAGCAAAAATCTCTCTTAAAAAAAAGAAGAGGGTGCCGGCAGGTGGCATGGTGATTAAAGGTGCTGGACTCCCACATGGCCGACGAGGTTCAAGTCCTGAATCTGGTGGCTTGCTTTCACTTTCCCTCTCTCTCTCTCTGTCTGTCTGATCAAACTGGAAAGTAACAATAGTAAAATAAAGTTAAATAAAATAATTATTTAAAAGAAAAAAAAAAGAAGAAGAAACACACCAGGTGCATGTGTGCGCCTAAAACCCCGGAAGGAGAATACGGTGGAGAAGGGTTACAGCGTGACCATTCTGCACAGGGAATGCTGGCTCTTTTCCTTCTCTGGTGAGCCCACAAGCCCTCTGGCAAAATTTTAAAAACGGACCAAACTCCCCAGACTGTCCCATCAGAGCCCAGGACTACTCTATTACACCAGAACGTGCCATGATGGGGCTTTCAGAGCGCAGCCCCAACTGTACCCCTGAAAGCCCAGGACTGTCCCGCCACGGTCCAGGAGTGTGGGTCAAACCCAGATTGCCTCCTCCGCATGGCAGAACTGTCCTACAGGGTCTACCCAGGGCTCTTCTGAGAGTAAGACCTGCCTGCCATTCATCAGGCTGAGGGAGGGTAGCCAGGTGCCACGTTCACAGGAAATCCCTCCCCAGCTCTGCTGCAGCTGCACGGGGTGGAACCACCTCCTTCCAGTTTCCTTTCTCTCTGACCATCTTTGTTCTCTAGAATCGTGGACCCTGAGGAAGTCCGCCGTTTGATATCCCGTCGGTCTAGCGGACCATCTAGCCCGTGCCTGGAGGGTCTGCCACTGTAACAAAGAGAAGCTGCCTCCATTTCCAACCCAGGTGCAGAGCTGCAGACAAGGGTTCCCAGTCTGTCTGTAGTTCGGGACAACAGAACCTTGGGTTCAATTCCCGGTCAGCTCCTGAGGGCCACCCCCAGAGGTCCTGGGCCCCGTATCCAGCCGCCTGCTCAGGCTGGCCGGGCCCTCCCTAATGCCCCCAGGGGTCCTGGGCCCCATATCCAGCCGCCTGCTCAGGCTGGCCGGTCCCTCCCTAATGCCCCCAGGGACACTTTCCCCAATCACAGTCACTCCACCCTCTCCCCCACCCCTCCGGTGCCTCTGCCCTGCAGTCCCCTCCTCCATGCCTCCCCCTTTGCCTCTCGGTCTAGACCTCCCCGCCAACTACCTGCCTCACGTTCTCGGTGTTCACTCCCTGCCTGTTACTGCCTCGTGCTCCTTCCCAAGGGGCCCTATCCCCTCTGCATCCCGCAGCGGAACCCAAGGGCAGGACGAGCCGCGCCAGGCCGGAGAAGCTGCGCGGGAGTGGTCCTCCCGGAAGTGGGCCCCCCCACGGGATTCCCCCGCCCCCAGGCTCAGAGCTCCGAACCCACCTGCCCCAGTGCGGCTGCGGCCATGATCGGTGCGGCGGGTAACTGTGCCCGCCAGGGGCGCGCCCTGGGAGAGAGACGTTCCGGCTCCGCCCCGCTCACGCCCTCTCCGGCAGGGTAACAGGGGGCCACGCGAGACCGGCCCGGCCTCCCCTGCTGGAGGGTGCCCCGGGACTCGGGCGCTGCTGCTGAATGCACGCGCTGGGAGGGGCGGGAGTTGATACCCCCTGCCCCAGCCCCCACCGGGCCTGTTCAGACACTCCGAGCAGTGCGAGATCGTGCCCACTGCAAGTTCCAAAAATGCATTCTCCTAGGGTCTGCCTGGAGCCCTGGCGCGGACTAGCAGGCCAGGTAACGAGGGGGAGGGTAAGAAGCAGAAAGCTCCGTGTGTCCACCCCTCCGGAAAAGGAAAAGCACCCTGGGCACAGAGGCGAGGTCTTCAGAAAGTTCACGGAGAATGTGCATTGTGGGAAAACCACACGGACCTCAAGTGTTATTGCACCAAAATAAACTTGTGCTTTAATTCCACTTTCCCACGATGTTCGCCACGGCCTCTCCTAGCGTACAAATGCACAGGAGAAGCGATGGGCCTTTGCGGAAAGACCTCTGAGGTGAGTGGCAGGCAGGTAGAGAAGGGGAAGTTTGGCTCTGCGGTCCAGATTTCCCCGTTTGAGTAGTTTTTATCACCGAGAAGGCGCAGTGTATTTTCTAGGGAACACGAGATTTGCCAGTGTTTTCAGGCCCCTTTCCTCAATGAGCCGCAAAGAACAGCACCTGGAGGAGGGATTCCTGGTTGCATCCCTTTGCCAGGGTCGCCCCAACCTCGGACGGAGGCGGAGTTCAGCCGATGACAGCCCTTCAGAATCCCTCTGATCCCTCACACCTGCTGTGTGTCCGCCAAGCCTGTGGTCAGACGCCCCCCAAACTCCTGCATCCGGGTTACTGTGATGGCAAGAGCTTATCCCTTGGCCACTGTACCTCCGTAATTCTACCCTGGAACAATCTGTCCCCAAATTGTACCCCCATGATGCCTCCAAGTCCTGTCCCCTAAAAGTCACTGGCCCAGGCAGCTAAAATTCCGAGCCCTCCCCCGCAGGGCGTTGCCCTGTTTTTCTTTTCCCCAGTCCTCCCCCGCTTCCCAGCCTGGGACCTTAGGGCCACCGCCCCCAGGCCGCTCCCGCCCCCGGAGCAGCCAATCAGCGATTGCCGCCCCGCCCCCGGCGCAGCCAATCAGCGATTGCCGCACACCCCCGGCGCGGCCAATCCGCGGCAGCTGTACGCCCCCACCCCCCTCACCTGGGAGGCGTGCCCGCGACTGCGCCCCGCGCCACCCAGGGTCCTCCTGTCCCAAACCTGAAGTCCCAGGCCCCAGCCCCTTCTCCCTCTGACCTAGATGTGTCAACCCCTGGCTTGCCTCGGGAGCCGCGGGGCCACCTCCCTACCCTAGAGGCAAGGAGGCCCAAACTTTCCCTTTAGAGCTGGGAGTACCGAGGCCTTTCTGCCTCTCCTCCATTATCTCCCAATTAGCGCTTAATTTACTCTCCCCTGCGGGCCCTTTAATTAGCGGGCTAGTGAAGCCAAAAGGCTCTACCTTCCCCTGGAGCCCCAGGTGACACAGGTGACAGGTGCTAGCAACATCCGGCACCTGCAGCAAGGTCTCTGCTCCCGCAGGGTGGAGGCGACACCGGGGGTCAGGGAGGGGGCTGGTGTGGCGGGACTCCGTACAGGCGGAAGGGAATAGCACGAGGTCCTCTGGCTGCAAACCTTTTATGGGCACATTCCTGAGCGAGTGTCAGTCAGGTCTGGGGGGAGGCAGATGGCAGAGTTGGGGTTTGAGATGGGACAGTCCTAGGCAGGGAGGCCCAAGTGGAAATGTGGGGAATCAAGGAGGGAGAGCTGGGCTGTCCACAGGGGCGCCCCGAGTGGCCTTGCGCCCATACCCCAGCTCTGCTTCGCCTGTCACGAGCAGCTCGGTGCCTGTGCAGAAGGTGGCTTCGGAGGCCAGGAACACCGCAGCAGCCCCCACCTCGGCTGGCTGGCCCATGCGGCCCAGGGGCTGGGAGGTGGCCTTAGGGTCTGGGGTTAGGGTTGCCAGCTCCTCCCACAACGGGGTCCAGATGTTTCCTGGGGAGATACTGGGACAAGGTGGAGAGGGGATCGGATCAAGACTGTGTCCCGGCCCTCCAAGTCCCCCCGATGTTCTCAGCCTATTGGGGCTGCTCACCAGTTGACTCGAACACCATACTGACTCTCATCCAGGGCCAGGGCTTTGGTCATGGCTGTTACCGCCCCCTGCAAAAAACAGGGAGCTGGAGCTCAGTCTCCAGCACCAGGGCCCTCCCCGCCGGGGTATCAGGCAGGGTGTCAGCGTGGAGGTCGGGCTCTCCTTGCAGGCTGCCTGTGGTTCCCCCAAGTCCCATTTCTTGGCAGAAACTAGGCACCTTGCGATTTGCCGCATCATTATGCGTCAGGGCTGGATCTGGGAGCTGGCTGCTGGTCTCCAGCCTGGGGTCCTGCTAGGTCCTGGCCCCCAAGCTCAGGCCCATGGGGAGCGAGACGGGAAGGGAAGGGAAGGACGGGCAGGGGCCGATGTACCTTGGTGGCCACGTAGGGAACTGCCTGGGCCTGGCCGATGGCCCCGACCAGGCTGGAGATGTTGATGACATTGCCCCGGCTCTTCCGCAGGTGGGGGAGGGCAAGCTAAGGAGATGAGACACAAAATAAGCCACCAGGCTCTATCCCCGCCCACCGAGATGCAGCCACGGGCACCCTGACACCTGGGACAGCCGTCTCGCGGGTGGGCTCCTGGCTGAGCTCCATGGTGCGTTGAGACAGCATCTAGCGCCGTCCAGGTTTGCCCTAGGTCTCTGGGTCTCACCAGCCAAGGGGTCTCTCCTTGTCTCCTTGTCCCTGTCTTTCCTCCTAGGTCTTCGACTCTCTTTCTCTCCCTGACTCTTTGTATGTTACTAAAATTCCTGTTCATATCAAGAAGGAAAACGTGGGGACCAGCAGCTAGCGTAATGGCTATGTCGCTGGACTCCCACGTAGTCGACCACAGTTCAAGTCCTGGACCTGGTGGCTTAAACTCACGCCAGGCGCATGTGCGCGTGTGCCAAAGATCCCGAGAGGAGAATGGAGGAGAAGGGATTGCGGCGTGGCCATCTCCCCTGGGAGTGATTTCTCGCTTTCTGTCTCTTTGTCTCTCTCTGGCTCTCCGGCGAGTGCATGCGCCCTATAGCAAAAACCTCTCCAAAAAAAAAAAAAAAGAATAGTGAGAAGGACAATGCAAGAAAGATCCAGAAGACTGCTTAGTTTGCAAAAATGGGAGGAAGTTCTTTCCTGCGCGGCGGGCCAGACTCTCTGAGTTTCGTGGGAGCTCTGTGGTCAGAGCCTCCAGGGAACGCGCTGTACTCTGCAGCATTCTCCCCTGCACCTCCCTGGCCACCCGGAGGCCCCCAGGCTCTTTCTCTGTGTCTCTTGCTCCTTCTGTCTCTTCCAACTCTCTCAGCCTACATGTGACCTTTAACCACACATGACCTTGGATAAACTCAAGTCCCATCTTTCCTCTCGCCTGCTTTGGGCAGCTGGGCTGGCCAGGCAAGACCTATTCCTGCCACTAAAGATTAATGATAGCAAACCGACACCAGGAGGCTCCGGGAGTGGGCCCTGTTCATAAGTGAGCTCGCCCTCCACGCACCCAGGTGCTCCGACTTCTCCGTCCCTCACAAACGGCCTCCATCCTCTTCTCTCGGTGGAACACAGCTGACCTCAGGGCGTTTGCACCTGCTGTACCCCGACATTCTCCTGAGGGCTGCAGGACCCACTCCTAGAGTGACCAGCTGTACCGGTTTGCCCAGGGCCGCAGAGTTTGCAGGGACATGGATTTTCAGTTCACAGATTCGACACAAAACCAAGACAGTCCAGGGAAAAGCCACGTCTCCAGCTTCGGCAATCCCTGTTCGAACGTCACCCCCTCAGAGGCCCTCCCTGGCTGTTCTGTAGAACTGTCAGGACCAGGTCCAGGATTCGAACCACAGTCGGACATAGTGGGAGTCCAGCACCTCAGTCACCATGCCACCTGCAGGCCCCATAAATAAACTTTTTAAGAAAAGATTTCTGGGGCCACCAGGTGGCGTGGTGGGTAAGGCACTGGACACTCCCACGTAGTTGACGATGGTTCAAGTCCTGGACCTGGTGGCTTGCTTTCTCACTTTCCCTCTCTTTCTGTATCTCTCTCGTCAAGTTAAAAAATGAATGAATCAGGGCCGGCAGGTGGCATGGTGGTTAAAAGTGCTGGATTCCCACATGGCCGACCATGGTTCACGTCCTGGACCTGGCGGCTTGCTTTCTCACTCTCTCTCTCTCTCACTCTGTCCCTCTCTGGTCGAATTGAAATAAACAAATGAATAAATAATAAATAAAAAAGTTAAATAAAATAATTATTTTTAAAAATGAGTGAATAAATAAAATTAAAATAAATCTTTAAAAAAAAAATCACACTGGAGGGGCTGGCAGGGGGCATGGTGCTTGAGGGCGCTGGACTCCCACATGGGAGACTGCAGTTCGAGTCCCGGACCTGCCTGGTGGCTTGCTTTCTCTCTCTCTCTCTCTCTCTCTGTCTCTCTGGCCAAATTAAAATAAGCAAATAAAATAAATAAAGTTAAATAAAATAATTCTTAAAAAAAAAAATGACACTGGAAGTGTGTCCATGCGTACCCCAAATCCTGAGAGGATATGGAGAAGGGATTGTGGCGTGGCTACTCCCCCCCCACCAACTTCCACTCCACCTCTGGTGAGCAAACATACCCTATGGCAAAAACCAAACCAAACCGAACCCTCGGAGCACTCTAGGGTAGTGGCGAGCAGGAGCTGGGTGGTGTGGGTGTTGAGGCCTTGACACCCTCCCCCTCCAGCCCCTGCCTGGCCTGCCCCGCCATGCAAGAGTTCCCTTCCCAAACTCACACCTGCCCGGCTACTGAGCGTCCTCCCCACAGCACCCTAAAACGAGGCTCCCAAGGTTGGGACGTGGCCCCTCGGCCACCCTCCCCAGCACTGAGCACACAACTGGCGCTCGATAAATATTTGTCCCCAGCTCCCAAGGTCCTTTCTGACCCTCCACGCATTCCAAGGCCAGTGTCCTTGCCCCGCCCCCTCGAGGTCACTGAGCACCTAAACTCAGCAGCTCCAGGGCCCAGCCAGGGCCTGCTGGGCTGTCACTGACCTGCACCTCCTGCCCCCCCCACTTCGGACACCTGATCTGTTCTCCTGACCTCCTCCAGCCTAGGCCGGCCTGACCTGGTTCCCGGAAACATTGGCTCCTGGCCTGCTTCTCACTCTGCGGCGGGGACTTCCCTGGTTTCCCACCAGGCTCTCTTAAATCTCCCTGGGAGCCCCCTTCTGGAGCTCCTGAACCCCTAGCCCTGGACAGCCCCTCAGTGTCCTCTACAACGTGCCCCTGCCCTGGCCCCCTGCTCAGTTGTGGGCTCACTACCACCCAACCTCTCATGCGGAGACAGGTGTCCCCACCCGCTCCATGCCGCAATGCCGTCTCCCCTCCCAGCCATGGCCAGCAGGCACTGCACCTCCTGAGGGCCTCCAGTGCCCACGCACACTTGGCCTCACTCAGTCCTTCAGCCAACACTTGCTGAGCACCTACTGCGGCACACAGCTGGCGCTCGATAAATATTTGTCCCCACCTCCCAAGGTCCTTCCTGACCCTCCACGCATTCCAAGGCCAGTGTCCTTGCCCCGCCCCCTCGAGGTCACTGAGCACCTAAACTCAGCAGCTCCAGGGCCCAGCCAGGGCCTGCTGGGCTGTCACTGACCTGCACCTCCTGCCCCCCCCACTTCGGACACCTGATCTGTTCTCCTGACCTCCTCCAGCCTAGGCCGGCCTGACCTGGTTCCCGGAAACATTGGCTCCTGGCCTGCTTCTCACTCTGCGGCGGGGACTTCCCTGGTTTCCCACCAGGCTCTCTTAAATCTCCCTGGGAGCCCCCTTCTGGAGCTCCTGAACCCCTAGCCCTGGACAGCCCCTCAGTGTCCTCTACAACGTGCCCCTGCCCTGGCCCCCTGCTCAGTTGTGGGCTCACTACCACCCAACCTCTCATGCGGAGACAGGTGTCCCCACCCGCTCAACACCGGCTCCCCCCCCAGCCATGGTCAGCAGGCACTGCACCTCCTGAGGGCCTCCCGTGCCCACGCACACTCGGCCTCACTCAGTGCTTCAGCCAACACTTGCTGAGCACCTACTGCGTGCCAGATACTGTGGTAGTGCCAGGGAGCCCACAGAGATCTCCGCCGGCCTGTGAGGGAGCAGGAGGGGGCGAGTGCGGGGTGCAGGTTACACGGGGTGTTGAGGGCACTTCAGAAAGGTGGCGTTTGAGCAGACACGCGTGTGCGAGCCGTGGGGGTGTCTGGAGAACTCGCCGGGCGGGCGGCAGAGAGTGCACAGGCCCTGAGGCGGGGCCGAGCCTCGGTGTTTGGTGGCAGGGCCGGGTCGCGTGAGGTCGTGAGGGTCACCACTTCTCACCTGGACAAAGGGGACCCTCTCCCAGTACAGCTGGAGCTCCGTGTCTGTGGGCTTTCCATGCATGGACTCAGAAATTCTCAAAACTGACTATATAAACTACATAAAAAGTAGTAACAGGGCCAGCAGGTGTGGAGGGCAGGGCGCTGGACTCCCACATGGTCAACTGCAGTTCAAGTCCTGATCCTGACAGCTTGAAAGTCACACCAGGATGGGACCAGCAGATGGCATAATGGTTACATCGCTGGACTCTCATGTAGTTGACTGTGGTTCGAGTCCCAGACCCAGCAGCTTAAAATTCACGCAGGACACGTGTGCATGCGTGCCCAAAATCCAGAGAGCACCGAGGAGAAAGCATTGTGGCATGGCCATCCCCCCTGGGGGGTGATTTCTCACTTTCTATCTCTCTGTCTCTCTGTCTGTCTGGCGAGCCCATGTGCACTATAGCAAAAATCTCTTAAAAAAAGGGGAAAGGAAAATCACAGCAGGCACGTGTACGTGCGCCTGAAATTGCAGGACGAGGCTGGAGGAGAAGGGGTTGTAGCGTGGCCATCCCCCCGGGGGGACCCCTCACTTTAGCTCTGTCTCTGGAGAGTGCATGTGCCCTATGGCAAACGCCTAAAAAATAATAATAATAAAGCGATACAAACAATACAGGACGACAAGGCAGGGGTAAGACGAGCGATCCGGGAGGCAGTGAGACGCAGGCTGTGCGAGCACACCCCCGTGGGAGGGCCAGGGTCACGCCCGGAGACCTCTGAGAGCAACACCCGGCCCATGACCAGAGGTTGTCCACTGAAGCTAGGGGCGGGGGTGGCAGGGCCCTGCTGGGGGGTGCCGTCTCGTCCTCTGTCTCTCTCCCTCGTGGAAGAAAGAAATGCACAAACTTAATTAAGAAAAACCAACTCAGCGTAACAAATATTTACAGAGCACGTCCGCGGCAGTGAGTACTGTAAGTGACCTCCAGGCGGGGGTGTACACAGGCCAGGTGCGTCATTTTAAAGCTTATTTATTTCCTGTATCAATGAGACTCCAAAAGAGAACGAGACAGAGAGGCAGAGACAGACGGCACCCCAGCAGGGCCCTGACGCCGTGTCCCCCAGCTTCAGCCAGCCAACCCGGTCACATAACGCCTGGTGCAGCTGGGTGGTCTCAGATGTGGCCCAGAAACCCTCCTACTGGGGTCATCTCGAAGACCACTGGGCCTCGCCACTGCGCATGGGCAGGCCCCACGACGCTTTTATGTAAGGCACGTGAGCGTCTTCAGAGTTTGTAACCCAGGGGTGGGGTGGGGCCCTGGGCCTGACCCCCGCAGGACAGGGCAGGACAACTGCACAAGTCTCCTGCTCTCACACTTTGCCTTCTGATCTGTTCCTCAGACAAGAGCCGACAGGCCAGTTAACAGTTACATCGCTCCCTTGCTCAAGTACCTTCCATGGCTCCCTACTGCTCCTGAGATAGAGCAGAGGCCTCAGCGCGGCCCCCAAGGCCCTGTGTGGTCTGGCCCCTGCCCTAGCTCCTAGTCACAGCACGCCATCCTAACCCTGTACCCGGCCTCCTGACAGCACCAAACCCTCTCTCACTGCGGGGCCTTCGCCCCTCCGTTCCCTGGTCAGGAAGGCCTCTTTCCCCACACAGTTAACACTCTCATCTTTCGCTTCTCCCAGGAAGCCTGACCTGACTCCCAGGACAAGCCCGTCTCCAGACCATGCCCTCCTCCTTCGGAAGGCGAGACACACTGAGCCTCAGGAAGTCCCTCTGATGGCCTCGACTGCACGCCCCACACCGGTGAGGCCAGGGACCGCGTGGACCTTGACCCCAGCACCTGGGATGTTGCCTGGCACCCGCAGATGCTCAGTGGGTGTTTAATCGACCGAGGAACGGCCTCTGAGAGCCAGTGCAGCTCTGTGGGTCGCCCTGTGCTCGGACGTCTCCTGCCCACCGGGTTATCAAGTCCTTGACCACGCAAAACCTGAGTCCCGGCTTTGTTTTCTCTAGCCAAGGGAACCTCAAACTTCGGCTTGGATTGGCGTCCACTAGGGAAGCCGAAGACCCAGAGATTCTGATTCGAGGAGCCCGGCAGGGCCCAGAGTCAACACTTAAGTGTCCAAGGAGAGGGCAGCTGTATGGCCCAGCAATAACGCACTGCCCAAGAGAGGGTGGGTCCCACGTGGCGACTATAGTTCGAATCCCCAGCCAGGTCCACCCAAAACACACTGGGCAAAGGGGTAGGGGCCGAGGATCCGACGGGAGGATGGAAAGGAGGAAGGAGATGGAGGCAGAGTAGACCCTGAGGAGATGCCCATCTGTCTGTCAATGTGATGCGCTCCATCAGGAGTAAAGCCGAGGAGGGTGTTTGAGGAGATGGCGCTGGACTCCCACACGGCCGACCGCAATTCAAGTTCCGGACCTGGCAGCTTGCTTTCTCACATTCTCTCTCTCTGGTGAACACATGTCCCCTCTAGTAATTAAATAGTAATAATAATAAATACAATTCAAGGGACCAGTAGTTGGCGTAATGGCTATGTCACTGAACTCCCATGTAGTTGACCGTGGTTTGAGTCCCGGACCCGGTGGCTTAAACTCATGCCAGGAGCGTGTGCATGTGCGTGCCCCAGACCCCGAGAGGAGAATGGAGGAGAAAGGATTGTGGCGTGACCATCCCCCCTCGGGGGTGATCTCTCGCTTTCTATCCCTCTGTCTCTGTCTTTCTGGTGAACGCACGTTACCCACAAAGAAAAAAAAAAAAAAAAAAAAAGTCTCCAAAATAAATAAATAAATCATTATTTTAAATTTTGTTATGAAGGGCCAGCTGGCGGTGGTGTGGTGGGGGCAGCTGGGTCCCACATGGCCAATTGTACGGTTTGAGTCCCGGGCCTGGAAGCTTGAAAAACACGCCAGGTATGTGTGCATGTGTGCCCAAGACCCCGACGGGATGGAGAAACGAGGGAAGAGGTTGTGGTGTGACCACACTCCATTGTGGGCGCTTCCTCTCTCGTCCTATCTGTTGCTCTCTGAGGAGCACATGCGCCCTTTGGCCGGCAGGTGGCGTGGTAGTCAAAGCGCTAGACTCACATAGCCAACCACGGTTCAAGTCCCACACCTGGAGCCTGCTTTCTCACTCCCCCCAGCCAAATTCAAAACAAATAATAATTATTATTTATCTCGCTCTCTGTCTCTCTCTGGTGAGTGCATGAGCCCTATAGCGAACCTCTAAAAATCAAAGATACTCCCAGTGGTTCCTGCCCCAGGCCTTCGCACTCTCCTGGGTGTTGAAACTCCCTCTGCCGTGCTTCTCCTCCCCTCCCCTCCCCTCCCCTCCCACTTGGCTCCACTCTACTCACCTCTTCCCTTCTACTTCCCAGACACCGTTTGCCCAACTCGTATCTAGGGCTGACCCCGAAACACAGCGGTCCGAAGTTGATGATAAATCTCGGCAGCGGCAGCTCGGCAGCTCGGGGGTAAGTTCTCTCACGTGGGGGCGGGCACTTCACTTCGTCTCATCAAGGCTCAGAGCAACTCCGAGGGAAGCGCCACAGGAGCCTCTGCGCCTCCATTGAGTAACTCGCACGCACAGTGTGGGCTCCAGGCCTTGACTCCCACGTGAGGCTTCTGTCCAAGTCACTCGTAGGTGACAGGGTCAGGGGGCACGATAGGGAGGGGTGGGGACTGGGATGCCACCGAAAGCTGGTCTGCATAGGGGATTCCTGCCCTAGGGCTCCAGCTCACCAACTCTGCCGACTTTTCAAGAGCAACCAGAATGTGGAGGTTTGTTTTTGCTATAGGGCGCTTGCGCTCGCCAGACAGACAGAGAGACAGAGAGAGACAGAGAGACAGAAAGCGAGAAATCACCCCCCAGGGGGGATGGCCACGCTGCAATCCCTTCTCCTCCATTCTCCTCTTGGGATCTTGGGCACGCACGCACACCCGCCCGGCGTGAGTTTTAAGCCACCAGGTCTGGGACGCGAACTGTGGTCGACTACGTGGGAGTCCAGCGACATAGCCATTACGCTAACTGCTGGTCCCTGTGTAAAATCTTTTTTTAAGGTTGTTCCCATCCACTCACCAGAGAGACAGTGAGAGGGAAAGTGAGAAGCTACTCCCCCCCCCTCCCCGTTGGCCCCGCTGCAATCCCTCCTCTTGCATTCTCCTCCTGGGATTTTGGGCACCAGGCTTGCACACGGCCCCTCTGATTTTCAAGCCCCTAACCAGGGCGGCAGCGGCCATATGGGAGTCCAGCCCCTTAACCACCTGCCGCCTCCTGGCCCCTCTCTGCCTTTCTAAATGCTGACTGATGAGAATATGCGCAAGTTCTGAACCCTCCCCGCCGGCCGGCCCGGCCCGGCCCGCGCAGTGCGGGTCTTACCGGAGGGGTTTAAGAGCTGGGTCAATCTGAGCCAACAGAGGTGGGGCAGGAGCGCGTTCATCAGTCAGCACGGATCACCCCACTGCCAGGGACATTTCACTCGGATCTCAGACGGGACCGCGCAGCACCCCAGCTTCCCCAGCTTCGTGCTCCCCAAGTCCTCTGACCTCCCCATCTCTGTCTAAACTACGCCCTCCCATGCCCTCCAGCCTCAGACTGCTGTCCCCAGATCTCACCCCGCACCCAGCGCCCCACCGCAGCACCGACGCGCCCCTCCTGGGCTGCCCGGGCGCGGCTCTGCCCTGTGCTTCCTGGGGATGACGATGCGGAAATACACCCCCGACACCCACCCCCTTCCTTATTTCCCGAGGCCACCTGTGGGCCTGGTCTATAAGGAGATCCTGATAACTGGACCTGCGACGTGGCTCCAGAACCTGACGGCTCGTCCCCTCCTCCCCACTCCTCTCTGTACGAGCCACCTCCGCGCTGGGCGCGCCTCCTCCGCCTGTTCCCCACACGGCCACCAGGGGCGCCAGTCCCCGCCTATGGCAGCCTGTCCCGTTCAGAACCCTTTGGGGCTTCCTGAACAAGTGTCGCCCACCAGGTCCGGCATGACCTGGGCCCTGGCTGCCTCTCCCCTTCTTGCCCTAGCCGCACCGGCTTCCTCGCTGTTCTTCCCACACCCCAGCACCGGCCCACCCAGCAACTTTGCACTGACTGCTCCTCTGCCCTGCCTCTCCCTGCAACACCTCCTTGGGGTTGTCAGCTCTCAGAGAGCCCTTCCTCGGCCACTGTCCCCTAAAGTCCCGACGCTGATAGATACAAGGGGACTGCAAAAAGCTCATGAACAGAATTAAAGCACGGGTTTATCTTGGTGCAACAAAGCTGAAACCCACAGTTCTTCCCAAGGCAGTTTCCATGCACTGTTTGAAGCCCTCACTGGTAAGATACACAGATAATTTATTAGCAATAATCGCGCCTCGGATAAACCTCATTGGCTACGATACTGCCACTGCGCAAAGCTACACAGATAATGTATGAGTGACAGTATGATGCCTTAGATTTACTTTACAATAGTACAGAAAAAGAACAAAGAAGAAACAAAGCAAAAACGCAAGGAGTCCACAAGAATAGCAGAATTATTGGTGCGGGGTGATGGGCATTCAGGGTTCGACACACAAGTCTCCCTCCTTTCCTGGAGACTTGCGAAACGCCTTAACACAAAGTTTTAAGGAACCAGCAGGTGGCATGGAGGGTAAGGCACTGGATCCCACATGGCTGACTCGAGTCCTCAACTTGGTGGCTTGAAAATCACACCAGGCACAGGAGTGTGCATATCCAAAATCCTGGGGGGTGGGGGGGAGAAGAGACTGTGGCATGGCCATCCTCTCCCGGGCTGAGGGGTGATTTCTGACTTCCTCTCTGCTCTCTGTCTCTCTTCCCTGTCTCTCTCTGCTGAGGGCACACGACCTATAGCAAAAACCAGTTTGGTGAAAAAGCATACATGGACAGCTGTCACTCTGTCCCCTGCTGTCCTCGCTTTGCACGGCATTTCGCATTCCCTGGTCTTCTGTTCCGTTTTCACTTCCTCACTGCCTGCCACACTAGACCCTCGACTCCCCCGGGACAGGGATCGGTCCGTTCTCTCATCGTGTGCCCAGCGCTCAGCCATTGCTGGCGCTCAGCCAATATCGGTTGATGAGTTTATTTGAAAGTGCTCAGGGGCCAGCCCATTGCATGAAGGCAGTTGGATCCCACATGGCCAGGTTCATGGTTCAAGTCCCAGATCCAGCAGCTTGGAACACACGCTGAGAACATGTGCACATGTGCTCAAAATCTTAAAAGTAGCAGGATGTGGAAGAGAAGGAACCTTTTCTTGCAAAGGCTCACTCTCTCTCTCTCTCTCTCTCTCTCTCTCTCACGCAGGCACCCTCTAGCAAAAAAAAACAAAAAAGAGCAGCCTGTAGCTCAGGGGTTAAGGGAGCTGAATCCCACATGACCACAAATATATAGTGCTATGGGGGGGGGGGCAGTGGTGCAAGTCAAACATAATGCCCTGCGAAGCAGACCCACTGGGGGAGGTCTGGGTTCAAACCCCAAGCCCTCCCTGAGCCCGCCAGGCACACCTGTGCCCCTGCTCAGGGTGGGCTGAGGCTGAAGGCGGGTAACAGCGTCAGACCCTGCAGGGGGTGCTGGCTCTCTGTCTCTCCGTCCTTTCTCTGTCACTGTGTTGCTCATGGGAGAAAGGAAGGAAGGAAGGAAGGAAGGACTTAAACTGGTGAAGAAAGCGAGCTGAGATCAAAGCGAAGAGAAGTGTGTGCAGAGGCCCCACAGCAAGGACGGGTAGAAGGGCCTTTCGGGGAGGTGCCAGAGAAAGAGGAGGTCCAGGATCCCCTAGGGGGAACGGGGACCAGCTACAGGGGGATGGGGCCCAGCTATGGGGGGTGGGGACCAGCTGTGGGGGATGGGAACCAGCTGTGGGGGATGGGGACCAGCTATGGGGGGTAAGGACAAGCTGTGGGGGGGTGAGGCCCAGCTGTGGGAGGTGAGGCCCAGCTGAGGGGGAGTGAGGACCAGCTGTGGGGGGTGAGGCCCAGCTGTGGGAGGTGAGGCCCAGCTGAGGGGGAGTGAGGACCAGCTGTGGGGGGTGAGGCCCAGCTGTGGGAGGTGAGGCCCAGCTGAGGGGGAGTGAGGACCAGCTGTGGGGGGTGAGGCCCAGCTGTGGGAGGTGAGGCCCAGCTGAGGGGGAGTGAGGACCAGCTGTGGGGGGTGAGGCCCAGCTGTGGGAGGTGAGGCCCAGCTGAGGGGGAGTGAGGACCAGCTGTGGGGGGTGAGGCCCAGCTGTGGGAGGTGAGGCCCAGCTGAGGGGGAGTGAGGACCAGCTGTGGGGGGTGAGGCCCAGCTGTGGGAGGTGAGGCCCAGCTGAGGGGGAGTGAGGACCAGCTGTGGGGGGTGAGGCCCAGCTGTGGGAGGTGAGGCCCAGCTGAGGGGGAGTGAGGACCAGCTGTGGGGGGTGAGGCCCAGCTGTGGGAGGTGAGGCCCAGCTGAGGGGGAGTGAGGACCAGCTGTGGGGGGTGAGGCCCAGCTGTGGGAGGTGAGGCCCAGCTGAGGGGGAGTGAGGACCAGCTGTGGGGGGTGAGGCCCAGCTGTGGGAGGTGAGGCCCAGCTGAGGGGGAGTGAGGACCAGCTGTGGGGGGTGAGGCCCAGCTGTGGGAGGTGAGGCCCAGCTGAGGGGGAGTGAGGACCAGCTGTGGGGGGTGAGGCCCAGCTGTGGGAGGTGAGGCCCAGCTGAGGGGGAGTGAGGACCAGCTGTGGGGGGTGAGGCCCAGCTGTGGGAGGTGAGGCCCAGCTGAGGGGGAGTGAGGACCAGCTGTGGGGGGTGAGGCCCAGCTGTGGGAGGTGAGGCCCAGCTGAGGGGGAGTGAGGACCAGCTGTGGGGGGTGAGGCCCAGCTGTGGGAGGTGAGGCCCAGCTGAGGGGGAGTGAGGACCAGCTGTGGGGGGTGAGGCCCAGCTGTGGGAGGTGAGGCCCAGCTGAGGGGGAGTGAGGACCAGCTGTGGGGGGTGAGGCCCAGCTGTGGGAGGTGAGGCCCAGCTGAGGGGGAGTGAGGACCAGCTGTGGGGGGTGAGGCCCAGCTGTGGGAGGTGAGGCCCAGCTGAGGGGGAGTGAGGACCAGCTGTGGGGGGTGAGGCCCAGCTGTGGGAGGTGAGGCCCAGCTGTGGGGGGTAAGGACCAGCTGTGGGGGGGTGAGGACCAGCTGTGGGGGTAAGGCCCAGCTGTGGGGGGGTGAGGCCCAGCTGTGG